TATATATATATATATTTGTATTAAAATTTTTGTTTTAATTCAAATGTGGCAGGTCACAGAATCGATAACATGATAGTTTAAAAAAATATATTGTATGCAAACATGAATAAGATTTTAGAGCAATGTCAGATAGCAAGTTTTTCTTCTAATAACAATAAAATTAAATTAAATCAAATAAAAAATGTAGTCTATTCCTCACACAAAGCAACTGTATAACTACAGAATACTCGGAAATCTCTTTCATTTCATGGAAACAAGCAGTGTGAACATTCTGCTGAATATCTTGATTTTATTTATTGATTATTTTTTAGTTGGGAGAACGTGAGTAAATAATGACATCATTTTCATTTTTAGGTGAAATACAGTGCATTTTCATTTTGTTGTTTCCAATAAAAGACATGAAAAGATCAAGGAACCATAAATAACTGTCACATCTATATTCTGCATTTGAAAAGACATATCATGCCTGGATATATGGGCTGTTGCTAGCCACCCTAAACCAAACAACAAAGACACACACACCACATAATTGAGAGCTTGAGGCAGTTTGAACCCTGCACTTAGATTTTCGTTTTATAGCATGGATAACTGCTATTCCCCAGAGAGACACACACATTGTTTCCATTAGCCCAGAGTATCCTTGACAGTACTGAAACCGTGCATGTATTTCAGATCAATCCAGACCGCAGTAAAATGTAGACCTCTCATGAAGGTCAAAGAGGTGACGAGTGGAGATTTTATAACCTAGACATGCACCGTCTGCTAAAATAGTTCATTAAACAGTGGATTTACAGTTGATGAGAGGGAGTTGTTTACCTTGTATCTGGGGTATGTAGGGCGCCAGTAATTTCCCTCTTTTCTTTTCATAGCCTTTCTGTGTGATGTCACCTACAGAGAGAGAAAGAGAAACAAAGGGATTGTGATGAATCATGTATTCTGTGTTTGAAAAGCTGGCATCACATTGCTCAGCGTCAGCCCATCAGCCTGGCACAGCAGGGCACAGAGAAAGTTCACCAGCCCGCTGGTGCGCTGAGCTCCGCACGGCCCGTAAACACCCAACTGCCGTTTAGTAACAGCAATGCACTGCAAACTGGCAGCACAAACACAAATATCACAGAGGCTTTCAATATGCACTCATACCTGAGCTTATAACCATCCTTTTACTAAAAAATATAATAATTTATCAAAACAACCCTGATGAAAAGACAATACTGCACTGAAATAACTACCATAAGGAGCCTAATCTAACCCTTTAAAGTTAGTGTTGTTCATAGAGCTAAATATAGCCGAGTTGATTCAGCAATATGAATTCATAGTTCATAATATCCGACAAAACACTGGTTTTATATATTTTTGCAGTGGCAGATTAAGGCTAATTAGTGTTAACTTAGCTGGTCAACCAACCAACATGGTCCTTTTGGTGACAGACAGTGAAACAAAAAGTCAGGACACATAAATATCATTACATCAAATAAAATAGATAACCAATGAACTACTGTTCAAAGGTTTGAAGTCAGAAATTTATATTTTTATTCAGCAAGGATGCATTAAATCGATCAAAAGTGACAGTAAAAGCTTTTACATTGTTACAAAAGAATTCTATTTCAAAGCACTTCTGTTTTTTGAACTTATATTAATCAAAGAATCATGACAAAATGCATCAGTTTCCGCAAAAATATGAAGCAGCACATAAATGGTAATACGAAATGTTTCTTGAGCAGCAAATCAGAATATAAGGATGATTTCTGAAAGATCATGTGGCACATAAGACTGGGGAAATTATGCTGAAAATTCCAATAAATTACATTTTAAAATACATTAAAAATGAAAACTAAGGGATTTCTTTATTATTTTAAATTGTAACAATATTACTGTTTTTACTGTATTTTGATCAAATAAATGGAGTCTTGTTGCGCATACAAAACATTAAAATGTTACCAAAACCAAACTTTCGAACAACATCATACTATTCAACAGAAGAGAATTAGGAAGCATGTACTAGTCTAAAACAAACCTTCAAACCTAAACACATTAATTTTAATGTACCGCGCTAGTCAGTTCTAGCAGATGTTTAATAAATCAGCTGAGAATTATTGCATTTTTACTCCAAACTTTATGAATAGTTATTAAAATATAATTTTACTGACACACTTGGAGCGATTTTCCTCCTGTTTATTCCACCAGCAGATATTGCTGACGGCAGCCTGGGCTCTGATACAAACAGGCCTAATTACAGGCTGTCTGAGAACACATGCAATTTTATAAACTAATGGAGACCTTTCCGATCAGTAATGCCACCACAATGGCACGGGTAGACCTCAGCCTGCCACACTTCAGTTACTCTTCAATCACATGAAGAGGAAATAAACACTGAAAATCAAACATATGAGAGATGAAAACCTATGGAAGCCAAATATAAAGCTGAAAATTGTCCCATTTGTGACTGTCATGGTCAGTTGAGTCTTTCCTATGATAGATGGATGGAGTCTGTGTGATGGGGTCTGAGTATATGGGATGTCTGACAGTTATTATACCAAGCGCACAGCTGGGATTATTGACATGAAACCCAAGATCAGACATTATAATGATAAAACAGGCCAAATAAGCATGAAATCAATGAACAACCCCAAGTGAACCAACCAATCAGGTCACGTTGACTGGTTTGTAGGAGTATGCGCTGTGGCTGTGAGAAAATCACAGATGAGGATTGAAAATTAACACTGCTAAATGTGTCACATTGATCCTGTTTGGGAATGTTGAAACCTTGTGTCAGGATGCTTATTCTCTTGTTATCCTGCATCACCCTGCTTCCCTCCAAGATCCAAGCCTGTAAAGGAGCTTTTTCTCCTCCAACAAAAGCCATATTGATTCAGCGTGGACGCCACGGCCCTGCTGACTGACACCACTAAAGAAAAGTGAGGCTCCCAAACAGTCTCTGACACATCCCCCTCCCCGTGCCTTTCCCAGCCATCCAGAAAAGATTATAAAAACCTCCGCAGATCACCAGAAAGGGGGTGCTGGGAAACCATACCACTCAAACAGCTGGGTCGCCAATCAACACAGCTAACCTGCAGTTCACAACAGCCACTAAACCCTATCATTTTACCTCAAAGACATGCCAAAGTTGATGCCGAAAGCAAGAAACAAGGCTTGTCTTCGAGAAAGATGGATGAGTTCACAGACAAGCGGAATGACTGAGATTTTCAGCGGGCGGCAGCAGAGGTGTGATCAGCAGACACTGTCGCCAGTGTGTACAGATGCCCCTGAGTCACCGTCAAGAGCTGAGAGGTCTACTGTCTCCAGAGCGAGATGTGGATCATGCAAACAATGTGCTACTGTAGCAGAGCTCAGGCAGCTGACCTGACACATGCATTGTCTGCTCAAACACAGAGCGTGGTGCAACACACAATGGACGGCTATTCTCCTGCCTACACAACCTCTCTGAACTACCTCCTTCTGTTACAGGAGACCTCAGCTCATCCAGGCCACAGTGTTGGGCCACAGATTAGTGAAGATGGAGTATATGTACAGAATGCAGTGCTGAGAAACAGAGCATCTCACAATGCACCAATAGTAACATTATGGCTATTACCGATAATAAATTTTTTTTTCTATTTATCGGATAAATTATATACAATTTTGTCGGAATAAATGAAAAATAAAATTCTTAAAACTAAAATTAATCAGCTCATAATGATATGCTCATAATTTTTTCCATGTTAAGGTGGATAACCGATAAATTATATTAAAATTTTAAAGGATTTTGTCTACATAAGTAAACACTGTCTATATAAAAACTAAAAGCTAAAATCAGTTGATCAATACCAATAAACCGATATTTTTTTTATGTTAAGGCCAATAACCGCTAAATGGCTGATATTAAAATTCTATACTATTTTGTCTAAATAAGTTAAAAAAATAAAATAAATAAAATCAATCAGTATCCGATACTTATAAGCCGATATATTTTTTTTTCATGTTAAGGCCAATTACCAATAAATGGCTGTTATTAAAATTTGCCACTATTTTATCTAAACAAATAAAGAAAAATAAAATATAAAATCAATTATGTTAAATGCTACAAGTTTAGGCATCATAACATTATAATATACAGTATGAAACTTGGATAATTATTTTGAGAAATTTAAATTATTCACGCTTTTAAAGAATTTAAGTGAATGCTAGATAATGGCATAAGTAATATAAATGTAAAAAAAGGGGAAATGGACATGTACTTAATTAAATTAGTTAATTAAAAATCCATTATCAGCCAATTTATGATCAATATCATCCAATAGCATTACATTTTTAAATATATATATATATATATATATATATATATATATATATTTGAAAACAGCATTTTTAATACTTTCACGGCCATTACGATAATCTATATGGAACATATTATTTCAGCAAATAAATAAATAAAAAATAAAATTATATTAAAACTGTGTTCACATGAATTTGCCACACTGACCAACAGAAAGCCGCTAGATGTGCGTCATACATCGCTACACTATTGCCAATGGATTTTGTTGCCAAAATATTGCTAATCTGGCCACACCTTCACACTAGCAACTGACCACGACCACTACTATCGAAAATTGTATTTAGTAATCAAAAAAGATGTTAAGAAAAAAGATTCTGGATAATGAGAACATCTGGCTAATGATTAGCCCCACAGCAGGAGCTTTGAGATTCTGTTGTGAAGATTGTGTTTTAAATGATGCTCTAGTTCAGAGCGCTTGAAGATAAAAGTCAAAGGTCAGTGAGCTCTCCCTGTGTGTGCGGTCAATAAGAGGTGATGGTGGTATGGATGGGGATCAGGTGCACATCCCTCCCACATCAAACCATAAGAACTGGCCATTAGCTACTGATTGAGGCACAGTCAGGTGGCCACAGCTACCACACTCTCCAGCCCATTTATATCTGTGAACTGGGCTGTGTAAATGCAGAGGTGAGATTCTGACTTCAAAGATAAACCTAAGAAGAGGAGTGTGTTGTGCCTCATGACAATAGAATATACTGGGGAGGCACCAACTGATCATTTGTGTACATTAAGACCATGAAGGTGTACTAAAAAGGTAAATAAGGTCAATTTTGAGTTGATGCTTGTAAATATGTGGTGGCTTTCAGAATAATACATATAACAGTTGGATTATATCAGCCAATAACAAGCCTGGCAGAATTTGTTCTGCATGCTAATTCTTTGAGGTAAACAGCAGAATTCCACACAAAGTGTAGTCAAATTGGCTAAATATTTTGTACAGGCCTAATAAAAGGGCTCAAATTTTATCACTGCACCCTTATGATATATCTAACCCAAAAATGCCTTGACTGCCTCTTTCTTTTCCTATACCATCATCATTTTCATCATCATCATCATTACTGTGACAGCTGTCTATTGCCCATCACTCACTATTTTAAATTGTCCTCTCAGTCTTGTCTCTCCATCTCCATAAAGTTTTCACCACACACCAGACGTGTATTTATGTGCATTCCACTCACAGACTGACCCAGATTTCTGTCCTGAGGAATAATTTCTCATTCCGCTCGGAATGAGAAACTCTGGAGAGAAGAAGCACTCGCTGACTCTCATTTACAGGTGCCAGTCCATCTTGCCCATCTTGCCCTGGTGACACATGGGCTTCTGAGCAGCTACACTCTCCCCCAGATGACTGTAATTGACTGATAGCTATTGAACAGCACTGCTTTCCTACCAGAAAGATTTGTGTCATAGGACAATAACTTCCTATTTCCAGTGGTTATAGGTAATTCAAATCAATTATGTCCACTATAGGTTGGAAATTATGTGGAAGCTCAGTCTATTCAAGATATCTTTTTGATACTTTCTTCAAAGGCTGAAATACACTACACATATTACA